AGAAGGCACTAGTCTCAGCTTTATGCCTCGGCAGTGGTTTCAGATTTTGTTGGTAAGAGCAAGGAGACCACATATATAGCACTACCTGCATGTTCCACCCTAGGAATGGGTAAAATGTGGCCTGTGGTCTGGATCCAGCCCACCAGTTGATTGTATCTAACCTGTGGCTGCCCCCATGGTGCTCCTCATGGGGCTGAGCCTCACCCACTCTGGCCTGAGGCAGCCAGTGTTGTGCTTCTGCCTGCACCTATCCCACACCTGCTGAGAGCACCCCCCTGGCACCAGCCTTGGCCAGCACAGCTTCCTGGTGGCTGCAGCCAGCCAGGTACTGCTCAGTTTCCCTCGACTCCAGCGGCTCCTCCTTCTTCTGTCTCTGCTGTGCATCTCTGGTAGCAGGCAATGTGGCAAAGTGGCGGTGGCCATGGGGGTGTTTTGGGCACCACATGCCCAGTGGGTAGAGGGAAGCTGCAGCCAGGCAGCTTCTGCTCCGGTGTGTGGGGCTTTAGCTCCTGGCTGCCTTCTACCCACTCTGCCCAACTGGCATGATGAACAGCAGCTACCTGAGTGTGGCTGAATGGGTGAAAGGCAGCCCTGCTGGGAAGCTGTGTGCACTGGCCAGGGCTAGGGTAGTGCTGTCTGCAGGCATGGGGCAGGTGCGGGCATGATGCCTCAGGTGGGAATGGATGCAGCTCAGCCCCATGCAGAGCGCCACCGGGCAGCCATCGGCTGGATGTGGGGGGGGAAACCGCACCTGCACCGCACCACGCTGTCTCAGAGAGCTTTGCTGCATGCGCTTCCTGTCCTCCTCCCTCTCTCTTTCCCAACTGTCAGCCATCTCCTGGGACCTAGTACACGGGGCAGTGTGCGCACACGTACACTATATGCAAGAGTTAGACCTTATTTTGAACTGTTATGTAATCACCTCTATATGTACTACTTAAAAACACATAAATCAGGACAAATTATTTTTTGAATTAAAATATGTTATAGTAGATGTTTGATTTTTAGTATGTTTTTTTTATCTATAATTTCTTAAAATGATATCTTCTGAAATTTTTTTGTGTGCGCAGCCCTCGACAGAGCTTGTTAAGTGGCCCTCCAGCCAAAATAATTGCCCACCCCTGTTTTACCCAGAGAGAGATTTGTCTCGCACTGTACTAGTAAGCAGGATAAACAGTTTAGCAGATTTAATTACCCTTTCCTTGGCCTGGCAAAATTAACTAAATTTTTTTGTGCAGATTCCTTGCTAAAGTCAGTGGCCAGATGTTCCCATGTTGCTCTAAATGGGACAGTGTAAATGGCCTTTTAATTCTGCATGGAGGATGGCTCAATAGGGTCTCTGGCTCTGTTTTTTTCTCCTTAAAGTTTTCAAAGAGTTCATTTGGCACCCAGACTCAGTATAGCAGGAGTAGATGAAGACTGAAGTCTGCATTGTCATATAATCTTGGAGTCTGTTATCTTTACTGTAGAGCCTCATAGCCCTGTCCCCCAAACAACACAAAATCATCTAGTGAGGAGTTTCTAGCAGAAATGCTGTGGATTTTCCATGCATCTCTGGAGATCATCTGGGTGTTACTTTATGCCTCATGGGCTATTTTGTGGGATTGGGGTTGAACAAGACTTAAATCTTTGCTACTATCAACACAGGATGCAGAGATTGAGTTGAGAGAGTCGTCATCTAGATAGAAATTAATTTTTTATGCTGCTGGCAGTTAACATCAGATAGATCTTGGGAGAGGGTTCCAGCAGCTGTATAGAAAACTAAAGATTACTCTATATTATGAATAAATCAATGAGCACCTTCAACAAAACAAAAGAGAGAATTGCAAAATGATGGGTATAAACAAAACAAAAAAAAAAGTGTTTGGATTTTGAAGCAGACAGTAGAAGGTGAAATAGAATATTAGAGGTATACAGCTGGATCTACAGTTGCTTATACCTTTTTAGCTCCATGATAATGCACATAAATGCCTGGGTTCAAGAAATATTCTAATTTACGTAGTAACAAAGGCTTGGACTGGTAAAAGGTTTCTTTGAAGATGAGGGAGGAAGGGTGGATACTGGGGAGGAAAAACTATCTTTTTACAGTAACCAAAATCAACGGGTGCTCACCTGCAGATGCAAATATGCTCTGAAACAAGTTTAATTTCTAATTGATTTCTGTAAACAAGTAAGGCCGATGTGGGAACAAATCCTTATCTAGTGCAAACTGAAGTAGTTATCAAAGTCAGTGTAGCTCTGCTGATGGTCTAATGCAGAGGTGGGCAAAATGCGGCCTGCAGGCCAGATGCGGCCTGCCAAACCATTCTATCTGGCCTGTGGGGCCCCTAAAAAGTTTAGAAAATTAATATTAATCTGCTCTGGGCTGCCTGTCATGCGGCCCTCGATGACTTGGCAAAATTCTGTAAGCAGCCCTCCGCCCAAAATAATTGCCCGCCCCTGGTCTAATGCAAGGGTTTTCAGCTGTTTTTAACAAGTGTACCCCTTCTGTTTCAAAGCTTCAGCTCTTGTACCCTTTTACATTTTTTTTTTCTTGTTTTTTAAGGGGCAAGGCAGGGGCAGATCGAGGTCTCTGTGGTGAGGGAGGGAATGGGGGTTGGGGCAGGCACTGCACGGCGGGACGGAAATGCAAGAGGCTCGTTTGGTGGGAATGGGGGGGGAGGCGGCTCCCACTGCTACAAGCACCCTAGGAGGGAATGGGGGGGTCATGTGCTCCTGGATCTGCATGTGGGGCAGGGCAGACTGCCAGTGGGCTGGGGCTGGAGCAGCGCTGGGCTCTTCCCGGCTGGGGCTGGGCCAGGCTACACTTGGGGCGAGCGGTGGCAGCGTCGGGAGGGGGGCTACAGGAGGGGCTGCAGCCACTCCAGAGTTTGCTGTAGCCCCCCAGGCCCCTTCCCAGTGCCACCAACCCCAAGCCCAGCCCAGCCCAACACTCCCACCAGGAACAGCTTGGCTCTGCCCCAGCCCCAGCCCACTGTGGCGCCACGTGTGCAAGCTTGAGGGCACATGCTGCTCATGCCCTCTTGGGGGTATGTGTAGTGGCAGGTTCCCGCTGTGCGCAGCTCAGTCCCGTGTCCCTCCCCAGCTGGAGAGCCCCAACCCCTGCCCTTGCCCCAGCCCCACTCTGTTCCCCACCACTGGGGCCTAGATCTGCCCCTTACCAATGCCCCTTCCCTCACAACAGGCTTACCAGCCAGACCAGGCTGCTCTCCACACTGCTGGGCTGCGCTCCTGGCTACCTGTGTGTTGTGCTGTGGCTGCGTGCAGGCATGCTGTATTTACCAGCCACATTATCAGCCAAATCAGTTCTGTGTACCCCCTGCAACCTTTTTAAGTACCCCTAGGAGTATGCGTACCCCTGGTTGACAACCACTGTTCTAATGCTTTTGGTCAATCCTCCTCTTCTATGCTGTCAGTGTAAAGGACCCAGGACATGCTTAATTTGTCTGTGATTGTTTATATAAGCGAGGCATTGGGCTACTTCTGTGTTCTGCACAAGCTCCAGGCCATGTGGGAGCTCTGTGAGGAGGGAATTACAATGATTGATACTCCTGGTCTCACAGAAAGTTGTGCTCCTTTTGTGATGGTGTCGTATGATAAAGAAGAATTCTACTGGAAAAAAGTACACTTCGATAATTCAGGAAACAGGAAGCTAGAAGCATAATTTCTCATTGTGAAAGGTAACAGCTGAAACAGGAAGCTGGAAGCATAATTTGAAGATGAAGACAGTGAATTAGGAGAGATGCAAAAGAGTAAAATATGACTTACTGAACACATACTGTCTGTTCACTGTGTTTCAGTAGGCAACATTTAAGAACTGCTACTGTTCAATTTGTCCATACTGTTCAGTCTTCCATTATTTCCAGAGTTATAAAATGCTGACTCGGTTTTTATTTTACAATATGAATATTTATCAAGGAGAAAGGGGACTAATTATAGCTTTGAACTACAGTGCAATGAGAGAGGGCACTTAGGTTTCTATTAAATATTTCTCAGACTATGTGATGAGTCACGAAATACAACTTCTGCTGAAAATACCCTGATTGCCTAATGACTAGGTGTTGGTAACTGAAATTACACACACACTCTCTCTCACTTGCATGAAACCTGGGAAGTGTCTGTCTGAGTAACTTGTTTGTTGAAGTTACTCAAGAAATGTAATATGATTAATCATTGCAAAATAGGTAAGGAATATAACCTCAGGTTGAGAAACGTGAAAAATACCTGCTGAAAAATACAAATCTTGAATGTTGTTTCTACATTTATATTCACAAATTTAAGAAGTTCTTCATAGGTTATTTTATTTGCCTTTTGTATCTGCAAAGAAAGAAAAGCACTGACTTGCCATTATGAAATTAACAGAATTAAATAATTTAATGGCATTACATTTTATGACACGAATTGCCACAGCCTGGTCGAATGCAGAGTATGAGTATATTAAACTTTTATTCCAGTGACTTGCAGTTCAATCATAATTTATCCAGGGTAATCAGGGGACATAAAGTACATTTTCATCCATTGATTTTAATGCCAAGCAAAATCGTTATAGTCATGTGATTGCTTGATGAATCACCTTATCTTTTTTTTTTCTAGTGACTCCTCTTTGCAGCCCAGTTGCTTTGTTGTTGAAACATATTTTAGAAAGATACCTCATAATAAGAAATTTCTATAAACTAGCCTATATATAGAGCTCAACTATATGTGGAACTAACTAGCTAATTGTAAATAGTAAGATATATGCTTTTAAACTGATAGTTATGGAGATTTTATAAACTATTTAACCCTTCACGGATCTCAGCTGTAACTAAATTATGAAGAGCTTGATGTATCTTCACGTAACAGAATTTATGTTCATTGGGATGTAAGTCATCCCTAATATTGTATTTTCATATTTACTCTTAAAACAATTGCAAATGACTTCAGTTAACTCCTAATCAGTTGTGTTCCCATTTATGTAAAATAGTGATGAACACCTACATACAGAATATTTTGTTTTGCAGATGATACAGAGGAGGTTAACACTATGGAAAATGTGATGTTAGAATATGCCACAATGGACAGACAACTAAACCATTACATGCAAGCAATTGAAGCTACAGTAAATCAGGTAACTGATCACTATTTTCTTAAATATGGAAAATGTTTGTAACTTTGTAATACACTTTCTTTTAATTATTGTAAAAAACTACATTAAAAACATGAAGGTTATGAAACCAAGCATTAAAGGTTGGGAGATTACAGAATTGAGGTTGCCAATGCAGTTGTGATTTGGCATCCTTGTGTGCATGGACAGTAATAGCTATTAATTGCACACTCACATTATTTCTCCACAGCACCCCTGCCCAAGTCAGTACACAAGGTGGGCAGTCCTCAAGAAACGAATCAGGATCGTGTAGTTAATAGACAGTGGTCCTATAAAATGCCTGCTTTGTTTGTGTAGGGAATGAGGCAGGTGGCTTCAGAAACAGAGAAGCTGATGATGTGACTTAAAAATTGAATGTCACTTTCACAAATGAGAAATGCCACTTTCTGTGTTACCAGCTTCCGTGTGATGCTGAGCAAATCACTTTGGCTTTTAAAATAGTAATTGAACAAAGATGAGTTCCATGATATAGAACCCCAGATTCACTCCCATGTGGAGTTATTGGCAGAGCCAGAATACTTAGTCATACCACAGACAGACCTGTACCACTTGAACAGAAGGTTGCTGTCTCTTATATAAGCAAGCCACTAGAGGGGGATGAGCTACACAGTTTGGCAGTGGGTTTCACAGCTTTTTGCTGACAACAGAGGAATGATGCAATTTGGGAATCTTGGGTTTCATTCCAGGTTCTGGAGTCCTCTGTATTCGTAGTTACAGACTTTCCCCTCCCTAACTTCCACCCAGATGCCTTCTCCCCAAGCACGTTTCTTTATTTGACTGAACCTGCCAGTCTGTCCATTCTCTTCCCCAACATCACTGCAGTCTTCATCCCTTGGTTCCTCATCCCAGTTCCCATTTCTCCTATGCTCCCTTTAGCTCTGGTGCCTTGTCATATCTCAACTTCCACTGGCTCCTCCTTTCAGATTGTCTATTTGCTACTCACTTGACTCGGCTCCTCACTTTTCTGCCTCCTTGCAGGGCAGATTCTTTTTCTCCTCACTGCTTTCTGGGCATCAGCAAAGGGAGAATTGAAAATCCAAGGAAGCTAGTCTTGTTGCTTTCAGTTCCTGTATCTGACCCCACACCAGTCTCCAGCTGCCATTAAGAACAGTCGCAAGGGAAGTCCTTTTCAGTCCCTTCAGCCCTGTAGTTTATGCTCAGTACAGATTGATTCTTTGGAGACTCTGCCTGTCAAATTGTAAATAGTCTTGGCTGAGTGTTGGCAAACAGACTTTTAGAAGCTCATTGTTTGACCAATTTTCTCTTGGTTTTTAACAGAACCAGGAAAAAAAAACTTGTAACCTGCCTGCCGGATAGCAGATCTCTGCTCCAAAGCTTGCAGCATCATTTTTTTCTGTGCAACAGGTGTCAGGAATTTTCACAGAACAAAATAATGTATTTTTTCTCTCCTCTTGTTCTCAGAAATGGCTGTGTTGTTTTTGTGGTAATTTTCCAGGGGTGGGGGAAGGGAGGGGCACAGTAAGGTTAAGGTGTGCAGCATGTAACTATTTTGGTAAAGCTCTCTATTTTGTAAGGTTCTGGAAACAGTGCTTATAATGACAAATGTTGGGCAACTTTAACTATAAGTACTGTTTCCTGCATTGGCTCTAATAAGCATTCCCTTTGCACTTATCACATAATTGCTGAGGTCCTGGTTTAAATATTTCAAACGCCAGACAAAGGTCAACATATTTTGTTAGAGTACACGTAATTTTTAAATGTCTCCTGGTACACTTGACCCAGACCTTTTTAAGTCTCCAGTAACAGGAGAATTGGCAACATGTGAATCAGGACTGCAATCTATTTAACAAAATAGAAACTGGCCATCTAATTAACCAATATGTTATCATTGTATGATTCTGTAATAGCTATTTTAATGGACTTTTGACATTAAAAGATGTTTATTTCTTGAGCCCAGGAGTCAGCAATGCACTCATGCCCATACTTAATTTTATGCATGAGATGAGAGCAAGCTCATTGCCTGCTTAGGAAAGCACTTTAATACATACTCGGTTCCCACTGATTTTATGTGCTTTGGAGCTTGGTTGAACTGGAGATTATTCTGGGGGCACTTTGTTACGGGAATGATGAATGTGTATCTTTAACGTGTGGATTTGCCAACTCTGTATGTGCATGTATGTATGCTTATACACTCACGTGGTCTTGAGAAGAATTTTCATTTAGTTTTTGTTGTAAATGTCCCACAGACTCTTCAGTTTTTTGCTAAAACAAGTTCCCTCCCTCTAATAGTTTCGTTCCATATCATTGTTGGGGAACAGGCATAGCAGCTGGAATAGGAGGGGCAGCGTGAACAAAGCCTTCCGTTTTTGCTTCAAGTAACAACAGCAGCTGCAGCTCCAAGACAGTCTATACAGTTAAGAGTATGAGAAGTTATATGCTCGGTAAAATATAATGATTAATCTTCTGCCCCACTTCTCCTATTCTATTTCCCAACCCTGAATGGGGGATACTTTGTACTTTCCACCATTGATATTCTGAGCAGGTGACTGCGTGAGGAACTAAAGCATCATATGGGTGCCATCCTTGCTACAGTACAGAGATAGCAGGGGAGAACAGCAGTTGCTTTCCTGTAACTGCTTCTGGGCAATAGAAGTTAGTTCTCTGTCATCTTTTAGTGCTTGTTCTTCTGTACCTATCACTGTAGTATCTGACCTCAGTGAGCAGACTCTGCTGTGTATGGCTGGCCTCCAAACTGCCCATCATCTTTCCCTCTTCCTGCCTTTCTGACCTTCTTCATAATTGTTGAAGTCGGGACTGCTTTTAGTGGAACCAGCTGCAGGCAGACTATTCCATTAAAGCAGCTTCCCTTGGCCAGGCTCTTCACTGATTGGGAAGGACCCAAGAGAAGTCCCAACATTTTCTGTGGAACAAAGTACCAAGCTCTTATTCTTCAGAGGCAGATTTCATCTTTTATGAAGTGTTAACAGAGTTTGACCTACAAGTCAGAAAAAAATACCCATCTGATTGTTCTCTGTGCTTATTTGTTCTTTGTTATTGTATATGAATAAACTGAAGAACGCAGTGATCTCAAACGTGTGACAGGGGATTTATGCTTCACCTTCTTGTTATGAACCTCACTTAAAGGGAACATCATGTGGCAGTACAAAGCATGAGGTTGAAAGAATACATCTTTCTGCTGATAACTGCTGTTAATACTTGAAACCCCACTCCCCCCTTCACTTTAAACAATCCATACCCTTGTCACTCAAATGTCTACATGATAAAACAAAAGCTTACACTGAAAATGACAAGGAAGTATAGTTACATGTGTACAAAAGCCAAGTTATATTGGCCTAAGTTGCAGCAGAAGCAGCATCCTCTTCTGGGTGAATCAGCGACCTGTTGAGTAAGAAATGAACAATTGGATTGCAGTACTATGAACAAAAATAGACTGTGGGAAATCCTTCATTCATGGAAACTCCCTCTGCTACAAGATTTAGCGTACCTGTGTAATGACTTGCCTTGTTCCTACTTCTCTTTTTCCCCTCTGTGTATGTGTTCCTATAAATTACATAGAAACAGAATTCTAGGGTTGGAAGGGACCTCCAACCCCCTGCTCAAAGCAAGACGATCCCCAACTAGATCATCCCAGCCAAAGCTTTGTCTAGCCAGGTCTTAAAAACCTCCCAGAATGGAGAGTCCACCACCTCTCCGGGTAACTTGTTTCAGTGCTTTACTACTCTCTTAGTGAGAGAGTTCTTCCTGATATCTAACCTAAGCTTCTCTTGCTGCAACTTTGAGCCCATTGCTCCTTGTTCTGTCATCTCCCACCACTGAGAACAGTCCAGCTCCATCTTCTTTGGACCCCCCCCTTCATGGAGTTGAAGGCTGCTGTTAATCCCCCCTCAGTCTTCTCTTCTCCAAACTAAATAAGCCGAGTTCCCTCATCCTTTCCTCAGAAGTCATATGCCCGAGCCCCGTAACCATTTTCGTTGCCCTCTGCTGGACTCACTCCAATCTGTCCGTATCCTTTCTGTAGGGGTTTTCAAAACTTTACGTAATACTCCAGATGTGGCCTCACCAGTGCCAAATAGAGGGAAAGAATCACTTCCTTCCATAAGCTGGCAATGTTCCTACTAATGCAGCCCAGTACACTGATAGCCTTCTTCACAAGAAGGGCCTTTTCCGCAGAGCTGCTGCTTAGCCAGTCAGCCCCCAGGCTGTACCAGTGCATGGGATTGTTCTGTCCTAAGCGCAGGACTTTGCACTTGTCCTTATTGAACTTCATGAGATTTCTTTTGGTCCACTCTGCTAATTTGTTGAGGTCTCTCTGAATCCTAGCACTACCCTCTCAGCATATCTAGCATTCTCTCCATTGTAGTGTCATCTGCAAACTTGGTGAAAGTGCACTCCATCCCATCTTCCAGGTCATTGATGAAGTTATTGAACAAAGCCGACCCCAAGTCCAACCCCTGGGACATTCCACTTAATACTGACTGCCAACTAAACACTGAGCCATTGATTACTACCCTTTGAGCCCAACAGTCCATTCAGTTTTATATCCACTTTACTGTCCACTTATCCAACCTGCACTTCCTTATTGTGAGAATGTTGTGGGAGATCATATCAAAAGCCTTGCTAAAGTCAAGGTACATTATATCCACTGCCCTTCCAGCCTCCTCCGAGCTGGTCATTTTGTCATAAAAGGCAGTCTGGTTGGTCAGGCATGACTTGCCCTTGGTGGATCCATGATGACTGTTCCTAATCACCTTCTTTTCCTCCAAGTGCTTAGAAATGGATTCTTTGAGGATCTGCTCCATGATTTTTTCCAGGGACTGAGGTGAGGCTGACCAGTCCGTAGTTCCCTGGATCCTCCTTTCTTAAAGATGGGCACTATATCTGCTGTTTTCTAATTGTCTGGGACCTCTTTCAATCTCCACAGGTTTTCAAGTTTGATGCTAGTGGCTCTGCAGTCACATCTGCCAACTCCTTCAGCACTCTTG